TTTTTTTTTTTTTTTTTTTTTTTGGTACTGGGGATTGAACTTGGGCCCTTGTGCTTGCAAAGCAGGCAGTGGAGTCACTGAGCCAAATCCCCGGCCCCTGAATTCCCAGTTCTTAAAAAAGTAAGCATTTAAAAATACTGGTCAAGTACATTTCATATGTTCAGTTTGGTCTAAATAATGAAAGGTGAGACATCATAATTTATAATCAAATGTGATTTTAAAATTAGTATTATGGATGGATGTCCTTACTTGAATTGAGCTCTGAAAAGTAGAAAGCTATAAAGCTGATGCCATCTAGTGGTGTCCGGCAGTTGTAAGTGAGGCGGGAGGAGAACAGTTGACAGACATTTCATTTATCCGTTGTTCTCGGTATGGAAAAGGAGACACTACCAAGTGGGGCAGAATCAGATCATCAAATACAAAGCAAAAAGAATAATCACAAGTAATAGTAATGTGTATTGTACCAGGAATATATTTTTCACTAAATTTGTTTCATTAAACTTTAGATAATATGCCATACTTTCATAGGTTATCATTAAACCCTTTTGCTCATTCTTTGCAAAGTCTTCAAATTCTGTTTTACAACTTAGCACTTGCTTCTGGAGGCTTTGGTGGTTGTTGTGGCTCTACTAAATGGCCTGTTCATCAGTCTTTTGGAAGATGATATTTGCGTGTGTATCTTCTCAGAGGTTACTGCTGCTCTTTGCTGCAGAGCATGCATTCTCCCACAGGGGGCACCATCTTTGGTTTTGATTCCATCAGCCTCCAGAAAGGAAAGCGGGCTGGGAGCCAAAGCACCCGGATGTGTTAATTAGGGCCATAGGGCTCTCTGTAATTGTACCACAAAGGTTCCTTCTCATGGCACAGTGGTCTGAGTTGACTGGCATGCAAATAAAGCCCTGAACCACCTCAGTTGAAAATATAGAGCCCAAATCTCCAAAGATCCCGGGGTTGTTAAGGAGTGAACACACGGCCAATAAGAATATGAATTACTTCTGTCCAAGAGTTTAGAATCGCTGGGTCCATCATTACTATTTGTTACCCTTGATACATTTGTATTGTCTTTGGCGTTTTTTAAACTTTTACTAATTTATCTATTTGTGTGTGTGTGTGTGTGTGGTACTGGGAATTGAACTCGGGCCCTTGCACTTTTGAGGCAGGAGCCGGAACCACTGAACTAAATCCCTGGCCCTGGCGTTTTAAAAAAATAGACCCACCTGTTTAAAAAAAATTTTCCCAACAAGATTCCTAGGTTAGGTAATTGCATTCTTGTTTAATCATAACGTGCCTTTTGAATTTCTCTTACTCTGGAGAACATTCTAGAAGGCTGCAGCCCCGTATGCTACCCTAAGTGGGCGGAGAGCAGGGGGTCCCCTCTCCTTGTCTGTGGTCGCTCATCCCCGGGCATCCTTTAGCTCCGTGTCTGTCAGATTTTGTCCTGAGATCTCAGAGCTTTTCTGCCAACGGAAAAGTCAGGAGTTGAAAAGATTCCTTTAAAAAGCTATTGTCAGCCAAGAGTGTGACTGCAGGAGGCAACTGAGGGGATGGGGAGGCTAGAAACCCTTGGGAATCACCTCATTTCTGCTAGGAGAGGTCTCCTAAGACAGGGCCAGTGTGCTACAAAGTACAAGTTAGACCAAATCACATCAAATAGTCTTGAAATAGGCAAAGGTCTAACAGAGGTAGATTACCATTTGAAATTATCAGTACCTATTCTCCTCTATGAATGTAAAGGTTTGAGAGGTAACTCTGTTAAATTATATTAGCACTTCACATGTCCCGGTTACGAGAAGGGATTGTTTTTATCCATCCGTCCATCATCCAACACATTTTTATTTTTTGTCCAACACATTTTTATTAAGCACCTCTGATAGTGGGCATGGAATGTAGTGAAATTAAGGCCCAATCATGCTGGAATTTCTATTGTATTGTCATTCTTGATGTATATCATAGTAACCTCTATTAAACAGTTCAGAAGATTGCTGGGCTAGTCCATGAGAAAGTGGATCTAACAGTATCCCTTTGATGTGTAAGAACAGGAACCCTTTACCCTCACCAAAAGAGCATTCATCCTCATAGGCAATGCTATCCTCCATGTGAGAGAGAGAAGTCAGGATGTCTGGAGACTCGTGGCCAAGTACTAGTGGCAGTGGCAATAACTCCTTTGTTGTACTTTGTTTTGTGAGCTTGTAACATCAGTAAGGCAGCTGCACCTGAGGATTTAGTGTGTTCTGTTATGTAAATGACTATGTAATGTAAAGCTTGACGTCTGTTTCTTTAAATGTCTCCAAAATATGGTGTTATCTCATTTTTGTAGCCAGTGTTTGGGCACTGATAAGGAAAATGGATGTATAAAGTTGCTACCCAACTCACTTCAAAACCAAACCAAACAAATAACCAAGCAAACAAACGAAAAAGAGGGTTTGAATCGTGATCCGGTTTTCCTGTAAACTAAGTAGCAATCACCTCATTCCATTTGGAGGTGGAGATGAGTCAGGAAAACTCAACTCGGGATGCTCAGAAGAGAAAGTCCGTAGGAATACAAGGAGTAGATTTTCCCAATTATTTTATGATGCAAATTGATATTAATTAAGTATATAATAGAGTAGTGGCCAGCAAAGCTGCGCCTTCTATGTGCTTCTCTCACCTGCTGTGACCAGAAGGATTACCTTCCTTCAGGTAAGCAAAGCATTCCCCATTGTCTTTGATAACTGTTATCACTCGTAATAGTAGTGGCAGAAGCAAGGCTGAGGCTGGGGCTAGGGCAGCCGGGCTTCATCAGGACTGATCAGAACTATCCTCTAGCATCGACCCAAATATTATATCTGCACTGAAGATGAAGACACAGGTGGACACTTCGGGCTAGTATGGGATTCTCACATATGCTTTGGGGTCCAGAAAGAGGAGCAGGTGGTGGAAATTTAATTTCCCCTCTGAAGTAACTTTCACGTAAAATAAGATCAGAGACATAGTATTAAGGGAGGAAAATGAACCCAAGGGGAACATGAAGGCCCTGCGTATCTGTGGCAGGCTTATAGGATGCCAGCCAGTACCTAAGCAGGCCTGGAACTTTGTTTGGACAGGGAGAGTGGGTTAACTCACAGCACCCTCTGAGGCCCTAGTGGGCACCCCAGGACCCAAACTGCTCCTCCAAGAATGAGATAACCCGTTATTTTTTCTTCCTCTTTCTCCCTAATTCTTCCCTTTGTCTTCCTTGCCTAATTTAAATTGTGATACTTGAAAATAAATTATAATTACTCAGATGCACCCTGTACTGCATCAATGAAGAAAAAAATGATGTGCTGTCATTCATGTACTTCAGACTCCTCCACTCCCAGGGAGCCGGCCAGAGAGTACGGTATCTTTCAATCCTTATGAGCCAGAACGAGGAGGGTCCTGGGCTCCAGAGAGAGGTGAGAACACACTTTAACTCGCCACATTCTCATGGTCATCTCTAAGCCTATAAAGTTAGTGCACAGATGCACCCTACTGTGTGTGATGGCCTGCAGTGAAAATGTTACTGTCCAGTGGCATGTGTCTATGAATGGGGCAGTCCTATTGAATGAATGGTCTTTACAGTAAAGGACCCTTCCAACAAATTGGCAAGAATGGCAACATTCATGTTGCTTCTACAGAATTTTGCATCTCTAGCGATTTCCCACCTACCCTCAGTTGAATTTCTATGAAGTTCATGTTCTCGGAAAGCCATTGGTCTCCATTCGTTAGCAGGAAGCATAGTTGGCAACTGAAGGAATGGCTGAGCTGGTAAAATTCCCCATGTGTGTAGAGAACTGGTCTGACTCTCTGAAGTGCATTTGTGATGACTTGTTCCCAGAAATGGGAACTTTGGGTTCTGTAAGTGTCCCCAAGTTCATTTTTACTCATGAATTTGGAATCTGTTTATTGCTACAAAGCACCCCAAAACAGTGGCTTACAACTGTTGTGGTATTTCTCATTTAGTTAACTCCTGTGTGTCAGGGATTTGGACACAGGTCAAGGTCAGTTGTCAGATTACAACTGGAGCCAAAGGGGCAGAGGTGGTGGTAAGTCCTCTCTCTGTCTCCAGTTGGTTCCAGAGCCCTCTGTTGGGTCTCTTTGAGTGGCTGTAGGGGATTCTCCCAACATGGCAGCCTCTGGGCTATGAACAACAACCAGGGTTCCCCAAGATGCCAGGAACAAAATTTCTGAGGCAGACATTGCGTAGTTGTTTATTGCTTCACCCTGGAAGTCGGAAGTCATGTACACGCATGGCTCGTGATGTACTGTTGGTTGACACTGTTACAAAACCCACCTAGGAAAGGTGACAGAGACCTCACCTTTCAATAGGAAGGGTATCAGAGTGTTTTTAGACCTAGGTAAAGCCACCTCAGCCCAATGGGAGGGCCCAGGGTACTGTTAGCAACTCTAGATGACCTTTCCATGATGCCTCCCAACCCTGCCTCCAGCTCTCAGCTGGACCCCAATTGCTCGACATGACCAAATGGTCATGTGACCATAGGAGGGCTGGAGTGGGAGTCAGCTGAGTCTTTACTAAGGACCAGCCCCAGCGTTGTGTTTCCTGGCTGCATTGTAGGCACCCAGAGAGAGCCCCTGCCCATGGATACCGAAGTGTATGAGAGCCCCTATGCAGACCCAGAAGAGATCAGGCCCAAAGAGGTCTACCTGGACCGAAGCCTGCTGACCCTGGAAGAAAATGAACTGGGCTCTGGGAACTTTGGGACTGTGAAGAAGGGCTTCTACCAAATGAAGAAGTAAGTGGGGTGCTCCCTCGTGCTGCTCTGATGCTCACATGAGTTACATTCTAGAAATGTCTAAGAACACACCTATAATGTTCATTTAATGCCAAACACATTTAACCTAACGTGAGTAAATCACATTTTATTAGCATAATTTTTGTTTATTCCTGGTACACTTATACTGAAAGCTTCTACTATTATACTAACTGCAGATAAGTATTTTAGTTTTCCTAAATCTGCCTTATATAAGAACAACATATTCACTACCCAAACACAGCTACTCTTAACTAATCTTAGTAATTTTTTGTTTCTTTGTAAGGCACTTATATGCACACATACACCATTTCATTGAAATGAAATCATTAAGTAACAAGTATTATGTTCCTATTTATTTTCTTTGATTACTGTTTCATCTTTCTTACCAAGAAAGTTCTTGATTTCAAACCATTAAAATATTTTTTTTTGCTTTCTGACATAATTTCAAATAACGTGTATTATACAATAGTTAAAATTACTACATTACCAAAATGACTTCATGTTTCATCTAGTATTTAAAAAGCATCCATATAGAATGTTTATTAAAAAGGTTTCTGAATTCCTTTGTGATAATCTTTTCTTTGAACAAGCATGATACCGATGTGAATACGAGTGGGTTAATTGTTTCATGCTATTGAAATTCAGAGAATTTTTCTTGAAAAGATTTTACTTAAGAAGGTAACTTGCATGATTCAAAGGTCAAAAGTATTGCTGAGGACCATGGGTGTAACTTAGTGGTACAGTGCTCTTCTAGCATACATGAAGCCCTGGGTTCAAGCCCCAGCACCACAAGAAAGGAAAAGAAATGTCTATAGACCAAAGTATACACAAAACTCTTGCTTCCAAAGCTATCCCCTGCATATATATACACGCACACTACACTGGCTATAATGCTAATTTTTAATATATGTATGTATATCATATTTTTATTAAAAAACATTATTATGTACTTAGGCATTGTTTTCTCGGTTTGTTCATCATATTCAAATTCCTTGCTTAAATATGTGAATTAAAATATACAAAATTATTGATAGACAATTTTAACTACAGAGTTTGGGGACAGAAGAGGCTAAGGATAAAATAATGTCTTTACTATATTAGGTCCATAAACATAGCCCACCCTCCACACACTTAATTCTTCTTTACTGACTCCTAGTTTCTCTTCTGACTTGTTTAGTTTTCTGTGTAGAGGTCTTAAACAACTTCTGTTAGATATGTCCTTTGGATGTTAGTATATAGGGAGTCATTTTAAACATTTTATTTCTTCGTCTCTGACACCATTTACATATGGAACTATGACTGATTTTGCATGTGGATCTGATAACCAGCAATGGTACTGAATTTGTTGGTTATTTATTATAATTTAGGTATTCTCTGAAGTGGGTCATTTGTGAATAATGACAGTTTTGTTTCATCTTGTCCAATCCTTTTACTTTCGTGTGCTTTTCTTTGCTTTTTTTTATTTCACAGCTAGGTATTGCAAAGCCATGTTTAGTATAAGTGTCAGTAGCCTCATGCCTGACAGCAAGGACAAAACCTGCATTATTTCGCCATCAGCTATGATGTTAGCTACAGGTTTACAGCTGTTCATTGTCAGACTAAAGAAATGTCCCTTTTTTGCCTACATTTCTGAGTGATTTTTAAAGTCACGAATGTATGCTGAATTTGATTGAATATATGTTCTGCTGAGATTATCATATGTTTTTTCTCTTGCATGGTATTTATGTGAATATGCCTACACATAACCTAGATGATAAATCACAGAATGTCACAGGAATCTGTGTATTTTACAGTGTAAGGGTTTAGCTTGGTGTGGGGCATTCTTCAGCGCTGGTCTTACGGTTAGTTATAAGTAGTGGGTGTATTTTCTTGTAACCTAAGAAAGGATGGTTGGAGACGGTAATTTATCCCATAGCTTCCTAAGATGCATCTCCATGTCCATGCTGTGGTACATTTCCACAGCAACGTTTCTGTACAGCAGTTATATTTCACAGGAAATATTTTTCTAAGGGTTAGCCTTTTTCTTTTGCAGAGGCTTGAAAACAGTAGCTGTAAAAATATTGAAGAACGAGGCCAATGACCCAGCTCTGAAGGAAGAATTATTAGCAGAAGCAAATGTCATGCAGCAGCTAGACAACCCCTACATCGTGCGCATGATTGGGATTTGTGAAGCCGAGTCCTGGATGTTGGTTATGGAGATGGCTGAGCTTGGTTCACTCAACAAGTATTTACAGCAGAACAGGTGCCATCAAGTACCCAGAGGGCACAGAAGCTGTGCAGTGAGGGACAGGGCCACCTTCCGATGCCCTGCAGCCTGATTTCTATGTGAAACCTGTAACCTTTCATACTTGACCACTTCAGTCCTCACTCAGGGACCAGGAGAGAGAAATGAAAAGGGCAGAGCAGCTCTTGGTGCTTAGAAAAAAAAAATCTCTAACCCAGTAATTTTATCTTCATTCTCCTCCTGGGCTCACTCTGTTGCTCCCGTGATGGGATCAGTCTGAGATTACCTGCCTGGAGCATCTGTTTGCACTAGGCCTTCCTTACTTTCTTGGAGTAGACGTTTAAAGCCATCATGTTTTGAGGGATCACGGTTGTGTCTTCCATTGTCTGACCTCAGAGTTCTCACGGGCAATTACTTTGGAAAATGTCAAATGCTGTTAACTGTTAACATCTATGAGCAGGGTGATCCCCCTGTACTCATTGGAAGCTATTGGGGTTTTTTCCCTCTTTAATTGTTTTGATTTTATGAAAAAATAAAATAAAATTTCATAGCCAAATAATAAGAGAGTAGCAATAGTTTTCACACTTCAAAGTGGTTACTTGGAGTAGAAGACAAAAACCAAAAAGATTTGTATAAAAAAGAAACAGATAAACAGCATCAGTGATCATCAGATCACCCCATTAGCTACCTTATGTTTGTTCTTTATTTAGATTGTTGCTTTAGTCTCCATGGAAGGGAAGCATTGCTATCCCTCCTTCACAAGTAAGAAACTGGGACTCAGCATGGGCTACACTACCAGTTCAATATTAAAACAAAGATTCAGGGTTGGCAACCCTGTTATACTGGTTTTCATTTGATTCAAAGCATCCATTGAAAACAAAACCTATTGAATGCCAGGAGGATGATGTTTAGTTTGGACTGGCTATAGGTTAACAGGTGGTTTGTCACCACTCACGACTCTAGTTGTTTAAGAACAGGGAATGAGCCAATTCCAAGAGCATGAATCATGTGGCTTCTCATTCTGAAATGGACCACTGTCTACTGAGACTGATGACACCCTTGTGACTTTCAGGCATGTCAAAGATAAGAACATCATAGAGCTGGTTCATCAGGTTTCCATGGGGATGAAATATCTGGAGGAGTGCAATTTTGTGCACAGAGATCTGGCTGCAAGAAACGTATTGCTAGTCACACAACATTATGCCAAGATCAGCGATTTTGGGCTTTCCAAAGCACTTGGTGCTGATGAAAACTACTACAAGGTAGGAACAACACAGCTAATGCTCAGAGCACCAGGTTGTGAAAACTTGAAAAACAGATGTGTATTCTCTTTATTCTATTATGGTAGGATAAAAAGCAGTTTTACTAGTAGTACACACAAGAAAAGTTCGGGTAAGCCAGCAGGGGCTGGTTGGTGATGGCAATGGAGAGAGACTAACTTTTCTGCATATTTGGAATGTGTTCAAAGTTTACCTTCTTAACAGTTTAAAATTCAAAATAAACTTGAATTGGTGTACACGATTATATTGTTCCCAGCGTTTGAAATAAAAGTGTAAAGATGCTGCATCACGTGGCTGAGAAAGTAGTCAACTGCATCACTTTGAGAAGTAATGCGAAGGTGACCTCTCCTCCAGAGTGATGTCCCTGGACTGCTGCTTCTGACCCCCAGCAGTGAAGTGAAATCAATTTTCAATGGAATTGGCCCAGAGTCACCTAGGCTGAAGGGTGGCATCAGCAAGAACTAACAAGGCTGAAAAGGGCAGCACCCTGGATCTCAGACTCCAAAGAAGGGGTTTTGCTGTGTGCAGTTTTGATCTCTTTATTATCCCTGAATTTCTTAAATTGGGAATTTAGAAAATTTAAAAGACATCTAATATTATTTTTAAATGATACAAGAAAATAGTCTTTGCTAAAATAAATAGCACTGGCCTAAAACTCTAGACAAATATTCAGTAGTTGTTAAATGTGCTTTTGAACAGCTTGGGAATTTCCTAGCACATAACCAGGACAGAACACCCAGGCTTGACTCTTCCACACCATCTTCTGCCCCAGGAAACTGTGAGCAGCTGGAGTAAGAGCAAAGGAAAACAACCAAAGAATGCAAGCAGTTTGTCTTGAATCTTAAAAGTGCATATTTAAATACCAAAATTGGTGTCTCCAACTTGAGATTTAAATAGCATTTAAAAAATTCATTCCCAATACACACACACACACACACACACACACACACACACACACACATGCACATTCACACAGCATTGTCTGAGTTGTGATCTTATTCTTTTCTAAAATGGTGGTAAAATACACATAACATAAAATTCATCATAATCATCAACGCAGTTTAGTAGTGTTAAGTATGCTTACGTTGTCCTACAGCCTGACTGCAGGATGCTTTGCATCTTGGGAAGACAAAACTCTCTCCATGTAAACTCAGTTTCCCGCTGCTCTCCCCTAGCAGGCTGCTGTGGGCCACTGCCCGCTTTCTGCTCGTGAACACAGCTGCTCCAGGCAGCTCACTGAGTGGGATCGCACAGTGCTGGCCCTAACTTACTTGGTGACTAACTTATTGCATGTAGCATAAAGCCCACAAGTTTCCTCCCTGTAGGAGTGTACACCCACTCCCTGGCCTCTCCTTCCTTTCCACTGTCATGTACACTACACTTTGTTGGTCCCCTCATCTGCTGACGGCCACTTGGGTTTTTCCCGTGCTTCAGCCACTGGGGGTAAAGCTGCTATTACTGAGCAGGGGTGCACAGACTTCATGCTTCACCCTCATCTCCTCGTCACCCGTCTGCTTTGCACTCAGGCCCAGACCCATGGAAAGTGGCCTGTGAAGTGGTACGCCCCGGAGTGCATCAATTACTACCGCTTCTCTAGCAAGAGCGACGTCTGGAGCTTCGGTGTGCTGATGTGGGAAGCGTTCTCCTATGGCCAGAAGCCCTATCGAGTGAGCCCCACCCCTTCTCCGTCTCCTCCTTTTCCTTGTCTTCCTTCTCCTCATCCTTCTCCTTTTCCTCCTGTTCCCTTCTCTTCCCCTCCCACTCTACCTCTCTTTCTTCCCAATCTTCCCCTTCTTCCCCTTTTCCCTCTTCTTCCCCTTCCTTCTTTTCTTTCTTTTTCTTTTTCTTTTATTTTCTGCAGTGCTGGGGATTGAACCCAGGGCCCCTCACACTGAGCTATACCTACAGCTCTTTTTAAAAATTTTGTGAGTCTCACCAAATCACTGAGTTACCCATGCTGGGCTTGAACTTTCTGTCTCAGCCTCCCAAAGTGGTGCGATTATGTGCAGGGTCACCCACCACGTCAACTGAGTAAGCCATTCTTAACAGCATGCTTACTTTCTTAACTCTGTGGTCTTTAGGACAAGCACCACGTTATCTGCACAAGAACCTGAAAATCATGAAATTTGGGCATCTTCTCTGAGTCTTTTGACATTGGGCATTCAGTCTGACCTCAGTTTATACTGAACTGAAAAATAGACTTACTAACTGTAGTGTGTTTTTTCATTGTGTATTACACATACAGATAGGCATAAAATAGAGTTAAGACTTCATTAGAGTTAAGACTGAAATGATGACTATTGACAGCATCCGAATTATAGCCCAGTTACATTTCTAAGATTTTTTTCAAATTAAAAAATAAGCCAAAAGGGCACAGATCAAGGGTGCTGCTGAGTAAGCGTAGCTTGAAGCTGCCCCCCAAGTGAGGAGACAGCACGGACCTCAGAACCCCCTTCTGCTGCCCCACTGAAGCCCAGCACCCCCAGTGATGGGCTCCTGTTTTGCTAACCTGCATAACTGAAATTGTGCAGTGTGTGCTCCTTTGTATGTTAAGGCAAGCTTGTTATTTTATTCTGTTGGCTGATGTGATGTTCTAAAGGCCTCTGGGCGTTTTACCTATTTTAGGGGATGAAAGGAAGTGAAGTTACCACCATGCTGGAGAAGGGGGAGCGGATGGGCTGCCCACCCGGGTGTCCGCGAGAGATGTACGATCTGATGAACCTGTGCTGGACATATGAGTGAGTACCCAGCGCTTCCTGCAACCTGTAGGATAGCTCTGGAGGCAGGTGGCATGCCTGGGCATTGCAAAGAAGCATAAATTCTGTGTCTGTATGTGTCAGGAGGGTGACCTCTCCTAAATAAACGACAACAGAGATAGATTGACTGCTTTACGATGCAGTCATATCACTTAAGGACAGGGACATGTTCTAAAAAATGCATTGTTTGGTGATTTAGTCTTTGTGATGGCATCCTGTAGTATACCTACAGACTAAGATGGCAGGGTCAACAGGTGATACAGTCTTATGGGACCGCCATGTGGGAGGTTGTCACAGAATCTCAGGTGGCATCTTAAGCATCTGGAATGTCCCCCACCTCTGAGGTGCTGCCCAGCATCAGCTGCCATATCCCTAGAAAGCTGTAGGGGAAACCACATATTTTGATGTCATCTGACAAAACTACCCATTTTGGTTCTACAGAGATAACTGTGCTGTAATAGCAGCGATGGCTGCTTGGCTCTTGGGTATAAACTGTGACTGTTTTTCAAATATCTTAATTGAACCAAATGAAATTGCAGTTGTTGTAAGGCAGAATGGTTGAATGTGGATAGTTGCATACAGTTTAACCTCAAATTCTATTTCACTCATTGGCAAGACTTTACCTGTTTGCATAGTAGCCTAAAGTCTTGCAAAATAAGAAAAAGATACTCAGTACCTGCAGATTCTGCATTGACAGTCCACCAGCTGTAGAGTAAAAATATTTAAAAAGAACTGGAACTGTACTGGACATGTATAGACTTCTCCTAGTCATTATTCACTCTATAAGACAGTCTCAGAACTATTTCCGTGGTATTTAAATTGCAGTTCAGCATTATGAGTAATCTGGTGATGCAAACAACACCACCTTATTTTATAGAAGGAACTTGAAAGCATGCATGGATTTTAGGTGCGCCTGGTCCTCGGGCCAATCCCCCCTACATACCCCTGTCCAGCTCACCTGTAAAGTATGTGCATATTAGGGAAAACAAAGGTGCCAGTACATGTGTGTTTAGAGATCACAGATTGTGAAAAGCTTTAACCCGTATTTCACTGATGTCAGCGTCTCACTTGCCAACAGTAGCCTTTCTGTGTGGTGATTAAGTCTGGGTCTCTGCCTTGATTGTGATAGGCAGTTTTAGTAAGATCCCGAATCAGTGGCCCATGTTCATAAATCTAGAGCCATCAACTGGAGTGTAGGAAGGGAGAGTTACAATTATGTCCATGCTTCTGCTCTTAAGAAAATTCTGAGTCCAACATTAACCGTGTCTGCACCGTAATGACCTGCGAGGTATCTCCAGACATATTTTATTCCCTGGTGTCACAAGGAGGCCAACTCCCAACCTTGGGGTTAAAAGATCTGCACTTAAGCGCACAGCCTCAGCACCTTCAAGGTAGCCGTGAATGCTGTGGGGATCTGGTACACACAGATTTGGGTGCTGTAGATTTCTGGTGAACATCCGGGAGGGCAGCCAGTCACCTCCACCCTTCTGCATTGATTTCTCACTGCCTTCTGGTTAGTCCTGGGCTGCAGAGGCCTGTAGCATTTATGACACCAGGGGGCGGTGCGGACCTGTGCCTGCCAATTCCCTCTGTAGAGTTTTGCGCAAGCGCAAGGACAAAGACTGATAGCTCTGTTCCCCTTCCAGGGTGGAGAAGCGGCCTAACTTTGTAGCAGTGGAACTGCGCCTACGTAATTACTACTATGACGTGGTTAACTAATTGCTCCAGTCCTGTCTGCAGTTGTGTTGGACCAGATGAGCGACCTCAGGAAAACACATTTGGGTGGTGCAGATTTTCAGGGTTTCCTTCTCTCTCTGTCAGAGGAGAGAACCAGGCCCACTTGGACACTTGCTGCCCTAGGACTCATCCTCTGCGAAGCAAACACAGCCCCCGGAGCAAATGGGCAACAGGACTGATGGGCCTCCTGGATTCCTTTGTTTTTATTGTCCGTATGGTGTTCATAACAGATTATTCTTAGGATCAGTTTCCAGTTCCTTTCTGCCTGTCCCACCCTCAGGGTCCAAGCGCCCACAGGCCTGGAAGCGGGGTTGGGTGGTACCAAGCACACTGCTGGCACAGGCTTTCAGCATCCACTGCGACCTGGAGGAAGGGAAGGAAGGTGGGGAGGAAGAGGCTGCTGCCAGAACAGAGTTTCGAAGGCCATGAGAGGGATTCCTGGCCACAGAGAAGCTACCAGATAGAAAAGTGCTGTGAGACTTAGAAAGAAGGAAATATTAAGCTTGACCAGTGCAATTTCTTTGTGAGCAGCCAATTCATGAAATAATAATAATGACGACGATGACGATGATGATGATGATGATGATGGGGACCCTGGAAACTGTGTTTGCTCTGTATCATGAGACAGAGGAAGCACTCTGATGAGAACTGAGCCCTGCTTGTGTGTGGCCTAGCTTGGCTCTGTCCACAGAATGCCCCTCCTGCTGACCGCCTGGGCGAGGGCTTGTGTGCTGATACAGGGACCAGTGACTGAGATTCTGCTCCCTCCGAGTGGGTAGGCCAGCTGCCCCTCCTGTGCCGCCAGAATTTTCACTTTCCTGGGAATCTGATGCATGCCCTGTTCGTCCATCTTCTGTTACTATAATTGAACATCTGGTCCTTTTATAACAAGAAAAGAAAATTACCTGTCATGATTCAGAATGCTGGGAAGTTCATATCAAGATGTGGTGTCTGCGGTAGTCCTTTGTCCTGCATCAAAACATGGCAAGGGCATCACACAGGGAGAAACAGAGTGCGCCAACTCCGATCTCGTCCTCTTCTTACAGAGCCGACTAGAGGGTGTTCCAAAGAGAGCGTCAGTTCAGGACAAAACTAGACTCTGACCTCACCTCGAGACACAGGCCTTGCCAAGTGTGATCTGTGGTTAAAGATGCAAGACCTGAAAATTGCCTTCTGGTCTCCTACCATTAGCTAATCCTTGACTCAGGGTTTGTTTATGTAAAACATCACCCGTCGATAGGCGTTTTGCTGAGGCTCTTGAAAGTTAGAGTGACTTAGCCATCGTTCTTCAGTCAGTGGCCATATCAAGCTTGGGCTCATCCCATCTTCACACATAAGGCATTTCAGCATGCTTATGACCACAGGGGTGGAGGAGGCAAGTGGGAGAAAGAGGACAGTCAGTACCTTTGCTTAGCCAGAAGATGTGAGTCACTCATAACTTGGCTCATGGAATTTTAAGAAACCGCTCATGCTTTTTGGAATTGTGCTGACAGTTTAATCATTTTGTTACAGAGCGGGTCCCCATGTGCTGAGCTCATTGAGCAGATCCTAAGAATGCATGTAGAATCCCTGAAGTAACCATTAGTGGCAAAATCTCAGCCGTTAAGGCCATTGATATATCTGGCATCCTGAAAGGAAGGGTTGGATGTGCTGACTGGGGACAGTGGCCCCTATGTCTGAGGAGGCCCCAATGCCCAGCTCGCAAGCCTGCCTCCCTTCCTCTCAGAATGTGTCTGTAATAAATGCCACTGCCCACAGGAATAAGGGCCAGGTATGGAGTGGCTGGAGCCCCCTGCGTGCCTTCTTTCTGGTGTGATTTTTCGAGCCTGTTTAGCAGCAGCCTTCCTCCTAGGAGTCTAGAACATGGCAGGAGCCTTACCTCCTAGCAAGCTGTCCAGCCAGGCCACAGGTCCTTCTGTCCTCTTCCCTGGGAAGGACAGGCTCCTATGTGCAAAAACCCTGCTGTCTGTCCCTCAGGACCCACTCTGCTGTGCCCTGGAGTCCGAGAGCAGGGCCAGAGGGACAGGCAGCCTCACAAAAAGAAAGGCTTACACTGTGAGAAGGGCTAAGTTGGGAAGTCTGGGGAAAGGCCTCCAAGGTCCTCCTAGAGTGTCAGTCCTGGGCTGGATTTCCACACTGTAGGGTATTCTCAACCCTCTCTGCATGGAGCTGGTTTATTTGAATGCCTTCCTTTCTGGTCCTTCCCAAGCAGGGTGGAGAGGGCTGGCCCAGCTACCCTGCTGTGTCCCACTGTCTGCAAATGCAGCAAACCCTCATCCACCAGCAGGACCAAATGTGTCTGTGGCAAAACCACATGCATTTATGGTTACAGTCACGGCATGTGTTTGCATCTGAGTATGTCTTGGCCCTGCTCCCCAGTGCCCAGCCCTACTCTGATCTGCTGGACAGTGACTTCACGTGGGCACCACCCCATGGTGCCCTGATCTGTCCTCCTGGACTCCCACTTCCAGAAGTAGCCACCAAGTTGTCAGTCCTCACAGCCTCCCTGAGAGCTCCTGCCACCAGTTAGCAATGCAGCATGTTTTGCATTTATTTCAGAGCTACACTTTGTCACTAGAGATTTTCTCAGACTGATTTTTAATAAAAAATTTAAATTAGCTTTGTGGTGACTGTCATGGAAGTTATTAGACTAGAATGTGTTACTCCGTCACCCGGTGTGAAGCAGTGTTGTCAAGTGTGTTCTGTGCACAGGTTCTGTGAAATACTGAGTCCCCTGGCGTGTTATAAAAGCAGGTATAAGCAGAATGTTTGGAGCCAGCCAAGCTCCTGCCTCACAGGCAGAGAAGGCCCACCACGGGGAGCCCTGCTCTGTCACAGGGAAGGCTGTGACCTCTGTCCTTGGGCTGTGGCTCTGCCAGTAAGGACCTGAAAGCCCACATCCTACCCTAACAGAGGGCCAAGAAAACCCCTGATGGCACAAAGTGGGCATGAGGGTACGAGCTTTTCCCTCTCTTTGGAGAATCCCAAGAGCACCGGGGCAGACAAGGAGAGGGTTCCAAATCCATTCTAAAGGAGATATCACATGCATGTACACACAAGCATGTACACACACATACATGTGTGCGCACATGCACATGCTGCATCGTGTACACCCATCACATATGTGCCTGCAAACACGTGTCCCACATGAAAGCTACAGTGCACATCCATACAGTGTATGCACAAACACATGCAAGCATACATGCGTATGTATGTATGCACATGCAGTCTCATGTATAAATGCCCAGAGACACGTGCACACATATACAAACCCACAGATGTGGCATGTCCATACAAATATACACATTATACACCAAAATACTGTACACATACACCACACACACTGAACACACACAAAGCAGCCAGTATGTATATGTCGCATCAGCACACACACACCGCTGACCCTTACTCCAAATTAACACTTAACCATCATTGCGGGGCCCTCCTCTGCCCAGAGACACCGCCTTCTGTGTTTCCCTTCTCTCCTGCCCGCTCTGGGCCAAGCCTTGGAGGGGTGCTAGCTCAGCCACAAGCTTCCTCCTGGGCCCCAGGCTCCTTTTCTCCTGACGAGCCAAGTCCAAGGTTGGGGAGCAAAAGGTGGGGTTGAGAATGGCAGGCTGCACAGCATGGGGCAAAGGCTGACAGTGGAGAAGGGGGAGGACAGGTCTTCTGGGCTCACCTGAGGCAGGTGGTGTCAACTGAGCCTGGGATCCCCACTGTGCCAGGCAGACAGCAAGCTGGCACATGCAGGCGTCATAGATAGCAGTGAATGCCTGGGTCTGCGTGCCCATGCCACGGGCTCATCGGCGAGGAATTCTGTGAGCCATAGCAGTGCTCGGGGATGGCTCAGGAAACAGTGCCATCCTTTGGCTTCTGCGCTTTCCCCCCCAGAAAGGGACTTCTCGTGCCTTGTTTCCAGCTCAGCACATTTCCAGTCTTTGAGCACAGAACTGGGTGCAACGAGAATTCCTCTCCACCCTGCAAGCAGGGGCTCCTAGGCACGAAGAAGGGGCCTCTCAAATGCACCCCATGCACTCTTGCAGGAGGGACACTGGCCCCAAAGTATGGAGTTACCCCTTCTTGCTGAAAAGCAGTCCTGTCCTGTCGGTCCTCAGAAGTCAGTGCTTTATGCTTTATGCTGCCGGCTTCCCATCACTACGACAAATGCCTCAGAAAATCGACTTAGGAGGAGGAAAGGCTTATTGTAGCTCATTGTTTCAAAGGGTGCAGTCCATGGTCAGTTGGCCCATTGCTTTGGGTCCTGTAGTAAGCCAGCACATCACAATGGGAAGTGGGTGGCAAGGGGAGACAAGAAGGGTGGACTGCCAGTGTCCCCTTTCAGGGCACAGCCCCCAGGACCTGACTTCCTCCACTAGGCCCAACACCTAAAGTTGCCAAACACCTCTATGGGCTTTTGGGCTTCGGGAAACACTCAAGGTCCAAACTACAGCACAGAATGGGTCTTGTCTCTCACACATTTACACGTGTACATGTACATGCACACACAACACATATAATCTGCCCTTGAAAAGGAAAAAAACGATACTATTTGGGGAGCAGAGCACATACTTTGTTTTGTTTTGTTTTGTTCTCATTGGGTTTATTGGTACTTTTTAACAGTACAGTTACATTCATCATTGGGATCTTGTACCTTTACATGCCAGATCTTGGTTCTCATTTTTTCCCCTTACCCCTGCCCTCCCTTCACCCCCTCCACCTTCCCCTATTTACAAAGATTTTTTTCCATTTTTTCCTTTTCTCATATCTTTTCTTGTCCCTTATTTCCTTTCCCCTACCCTTTCCACTTCCCCCACACCTTTAACCTTTTTTTTCCCTATTTTACATTGTTATACAGTTTAGATCTTATTTACACTTTTAGTTTTTCACACCAGAGAAACTATTTGGTATCTACACTTGCGTGTCTTATTTATTTCACTTAAGAGTATGGCCTCAGTATGCTTCCATTTTCCTGTGAATGACTCTAGTTTCTCATGCTTTATGGCTGAGTAGTATTCCATTTTAGAGAAAAACCACATCTTCTTTATCCAGTCTCCAACTGATGGGCAATTGGGCTGTTACCAAGTTTTAACTATTACAAACTGGCAGAGCACATACTTCGATGTTTCATTAAACACATCTGTCTGAGGGCATTTACTATTTCATAGTTTTGCAAAATTAACCCATAAGAAAGAAAGGTCACTTTTCTAGAGTCGCCACTGCAAAACCCAGGGGGCATTCATGTGGGTGATTCAGGCCTTCCCACGTTGGTCCCAGGCCTCTCCCTTAGGCCACTGCCCCTCAAGGGTCTAAACCCACACACTGCCCCATGGAGACCATGCCTGAGGCAATGTTCTAAACTGAGCATTACTGCAGGGAAGCCATGACTCAGAAGACTTAAAGCTTCCAGTTTGGGAGGTCGTTCAGTGACTCAGTTTACCACAACTGTCATCACGCTATGGAACAATGAGTGAAGAAAGTAGACTGTGCATAAACAACTCTTCCCCATTCAGGAGAAATAAGGAGCCAGTGTCTGGCCCTCCTCTCCTCTCCTCTCCTGTCAGATGACTTCATACATTTCCATAAACCATGGGCTGACAGAGCCTTACTGAGCTGAATATCAGCAGCTGCTGGAGCCCTTCTGGCCCCGACGGCAGGGGCAGAGGAGAGGCCAAGTCTTTTGCTTGTCTTTCGCTTGAGTTGTGCAGGAAGAAAGAGGATCGTGGGAGAGAGAATCACCACAGAACTACCCAGGAGCAATATTTCCACCTAGATTGTCCTGAAGACAGAGTCCACATCCAAGACCCATGGCTCTGCTCACCCTGAACCCCTGGGAAATACACATCTTCCTACAGGTGTCACAGATCCTGCTGGGGAGCTCTGTGCCTGCGGTGTCACCTGGTGCACAGGTCAGCATCCAAGGATGTGGCTGTCAACACATCTCTCTTCTTGCTTCCTTCAGGAAAGCAGAAAACCCTTGATAAGAGGGTCTGGTCTGCCTTGGCTGAGTGCCTTGGCAATGGGGCTATAGCAGGAGAATCTCCAAGTAGGCAGAGGATGGGCCAAGGGGGTTCGCTGAAAGAAAACCCGGGCCTTTCAAGCCAGGCACAAATGGCACCTTAGCTGATTGTCTTCTGTACCCATTTATCATGTTTGTTCTGGAACATTCTTCCCATTACATGAATAAGGTACAAGTCCTTAATGTTCCCCTATGACATTTTGCTCTGTGCCACACCAGTACTTTAATCATGCACACAAAATAGCCTCCCACAGCAAACCCGTGCCCATGGGGCTGTCTCCCCCAGGCAGGCAGTTATCCATTGGGAACCTGTACTTCATCTCTCAGGACTTGGAAACACAGGTCTGCAGCTGGCCGTCAGGACCTGTGTCTCTGCTGTTTTCCAGGGAGTCTGGATGTGTGAGTCTGGATGCATCTGGGTGTGTGTATGCATACATGTGAGCCTGTGTGTGTGTGTTGTGTGTTTTATATTGTGGATGGACCATGTCTCTGTATGTGTGTGCTGTGTGTGCATCTATACTTGTGTGCCATGTGCTATATGTGTCTGCATATGTGTGGTGTGCCTATACGTGTCCAAGCATGTCATGTGTCTATGGATGTCTGTGTATTCATGGGTTGTGTTTATGTGTGTGGTGTGATGTGTGTGTGCTTGTATCAGTGTGGTGTGTCTCTTGGTATTTATGATGCTTTTATCTGTATGTGTGTATCTGTGTGGCGTATATGTGTGCCTGCATGTGTTTGCGTCTTTACGTGTTCGTAATGTGTGTGATGTGCGTAGGTGTGTGGTGTGTTTATGTGTATGTTTGTATGTGAGTGGTGTATGTAGTATGTTGTATAGCATGTCTGTATGTGTGTGGAGTTTGTATCTGTGTGTGTGCCTGTGTCTGTGTGATGTGTGTGTCTATGTGTCTGTGTGCGGTGTGTATCTTTATGTGCGTATATGTGGTGCATGTGTGGTGTCCATTTTGTGTGTGGATGGTGTGTGTCTCTGTGTACGAGTATATGTGTGGTGTGTATATGTATCTATGAGGTGTATGTATCTGCGCGTCTATGTGGTGTGCCTGTATGTGGTGTGCATCTCCACCTGTGTACGTGTGTGGTGTGTGAATGTGTGGTACGTGTGTATGTTGTGTTCTTGTGTTGTGTGTACATGTGTGTCTACATATGTGCGTGTCTCCCGAGGTTGGCTGGGTAAGCAGCAGCCAGTGGTGTGTGAGGTGGTCCAGCGCATCTGCAGCTATGCAGCCCTGGCTGGCCCTCCCGTGCTGAGTCAAGCGCCCCCTGGTGGATGGGCTGTGCCTAGAGCCCTGAGGGATGATTCTGAGACCTGCTTTCCTGGAGCCATTACAGAGCCAGTCCATTCACCCACATCGCTGGACAGACATTACAGCCCGGAACCGTGCCTTCTTCTGTCCTTGTTCTCAGCTTTACAGGACTCCACTGAGGACTCAGGGTCACAGCATGATCTGGTGTTGTCTCCAGTGACCTGAGCCAACCAGTGACATTGCAATGCAGGACGAGAGGCTATGCAGGAATCCAGCTGGGCAGACTTTGGCAGGCTCCGTGTTTCTGAGAACTCTGCAGCAGAACTGAAATTTTCATACTATTTTATATCTTACAGAATCTATTCAGGGATATTTTCTTTTGAGAAGCTGTTACTGGTAACTCTTAATTTTGCAAATGAAAAAGGCATGACTCACAAGACAGCTAAATAAACAAATAAATAGATAATGCAAAAGAAGCCACCCAGATATCTCCTTGTAACACCACCTGTTCCAAGCCTGACTAACAGAATCCATGGAGCATTCAAATACTGATACCCAGGGCCCGTTCCTGGAGAATTTGATAGAATTTGTCAGGAGTGGGGCCCTGGGATCCACACACTGAAAATCTCCAAAAGTGCACCAGCAGGCAGGTAGCCCACCACACTCATGTGATAAGATGCGGACTTTGGGGAAGTGGGACATGTGGGGCCCTGGCTCAGGGAGCAGAGGGCTGAACCTGCCCAATTCTGGGTGGCTGGCATTTCTGCCTTCCAAGTCCAATAGTGGTGGGGTTTCAAATGTTGGGCCATTATGGGGTCTTGGGAATAGTCTGCAAGGTGCTCCAGAAATTCTGATTGGGTAAGTGAGGAGGGTCTTGGATTTTCTTGGCTTAGCTCATTACATTTGCAAAGATCA